CTCAGCAGAAGATACTACAGGCTGGGCACTGTGCAGTGATACAGCATTTGCTTAGGATGGACAAGGCCCTTAGACTCTCCCAATTGTTGATGTGCGACGTGGTGTGTGCCAGCAGCCCCAGCAACTTCTGCTTTGGAGGCTGCAGCAGCAAGAGGAGGAGGTCAAAGCCAACCTGGGCAACTTAATAATACCCTATCTCAAAATGGCTGGGGTGGTTCAATCCCAGTACTGCAAAAAAAAAAGTTCAGAGCAAATATGCATTCTTACAATTAACATACAGAAATGTATGGCACATCCCCAGCACCACACACACACAAACATACATGCCTATATTTTATGAATTAATTTCTTTTCCATTTAATTCTTATTTTATGGTGTTATATGTATTGTATACATTGCCTTTAATAGGGCATAACAGTTCAGATATATAAAAATAAAATGGCATAAGCCGGGCATGGTGGTGCACACCTGTAATTTCAGCACTTGGGAGGCTGAGGCAGGAGGATCCCTGTGAGTTTGAGACCAGCCTGGGCTATATTAGTGAGTTCCAGGTCAGTCTCAACTACATAGTGAGACCCTGTCTCAAAAAACAAAGCAAAACAAAAAGAGGAATACTCTGAATAGAATAAAGACTTGTATAAAACAAACTCAAGGAAATCCAGTTAAAAGACAAATAGAGCTGTATTTTTATACTGTACAAAAGAAAATTTACATTCTTAATACAACTAGATACACCTAGTATTACATGTCAAGAAACACAGTATTTAACACCTTAGATTATGTTTCTGCATTGCAGACTGACACTGAACTTTATACATCTTTATTTACAATAACTTAAAATATTTTTTCATCTGGCAGATATTTACAAGGTGAACAGTGACTACATTTCACATTTCAACAATCAACAGCATTAATCAGTTCTGTAAGACAGGATAATGGCTTACATGCACCAATAAATAAGATCTTAAATGTGCAGTTTTCCTCCAGCTCAAAAGATGAGGATTTATCACTAGTCCTAGGTTGAGAGGACATCATTCAGCAGAGGTAATTTCTACAAACCTATCCTATTTAAATTTTCACCAGCACCATTCTCTGAATACTTGGGAAGCTTATGCCAAGCTATAGGCTGATGCTGGTTACAAAAAAAAAGAAAAAAGAAAACAAACCCTTGATCTACACATTTCATATCCTTTAATGAAGCAAACATATGAGTGGGACATTTCCTGTTTACTTGTCCCTTGTTAGAGATCAGATTGCATAAAGTCAAAGTAGTAAAAATCCTTCAGAAATTATAGCTCAGGACAGCCAATTATCTTTACCTGATCTTAGCCAAAAGGCTGAGAATTGATAGTGAAATTATCTTGATGAAAAATAATCAGCACTGTAAAATCATTTAACCAGTTAAAGTGAATGTAAATACAGCCCAAATTTTAGAGCAAGAATAGATTCAACGTAGTTTATAAAGAAACACATGGAGTATATATTGTTTGGATGGTAAAAATCAAACTTGTAGCAGGTATTATTAGAAAGCCAATCTTCTTTTTTTTCCAAAATAGCTGATCATTACATTACTTTATAATTATCAGTAAAAAAAGAATACCCAGAGCTTTTATCAGGTAATGTACAATTATATTTCATTAATTATAAATAACAGCCTAAATAAATCTTTAGTTCTTTTTGGTGTATACATTTAAGAATTTATTTTAGCTTTTATTAACCCAATCATATTTTTATGCAAAGACAAAACCCAAAGTGGACATGTAAATTACGTAAACAAAATATACTAGTTAATCAGTATCATATTTACTGGAAATAATTGCCACTGCCCATTGAGAGGTGCATTTCCATAATTTTCCCAACAATTTTGAGAAACTCACAATATCATATAATCATAACCCATAATACACCTCTTTTTATTCAATACTGCTGAGGAGACTCCTTAATTTTCGTTAAGGAGACAAAAAAAATGTACCATAAGAAATATTTGGAATTAGCTTTTAACTTGTACTTTTGCTGGAATATTGACATTGCTAACATAAGAAAACCTCAAATGGAATCTTTTTTTAAAAATCCGAGTAATATTTTTTTTTTTGATATCAGGGATCAAACCCGGGACCTTGCACTTGCAAGGCAGGCAGTGGAACCACTAAGCTAAATCCCCGGCCCTCAAATGGAATCTTATAGTTCCTAATACACCATTTTTCCAAATTAAAGAATCTTATTTTTTTGTTGTTTTTTGGTTACTGGGGATCAAACTCAGGACCTTGAGCTTGCAAGGCAGGAAGCAGAACCACTGAGCTAAATCCCCGGCCCTCAAAGAATCTCTTAATGTTTATTTTCCCAGGGTTACAAAGCGGTCCTTATGTTAAAGGGGATTCATTCCTTAACAGATGCTTTTCAATTTTTATCTGGTCAATAAGATTTTCTTTGGTAAATTTTGTAATTAATGAAGGTGTAAAAAATTTCCTCTGATATAATTAATACTGAGCTGTTTATATCTCAAATACAGCAAGCCAGATTGATATCAACTCAGTAGCTGGGGATAGATTGTCCAATTAAGTTCATTACTCTCTGAAAGTAAAAGGATATCTTTATTAGACCCATCTTCAAATACATAATTTTTAAAAAGGACTCACATAACTTTAAGCTATACCTACTTCTATTTTTTAGTAAAATCTATATATCAATTATAATAGCAGACATGAATATGCTTTAATTTGTAAACATTAGGAACACATTTTCTCAAAATTCAGAAGCAAAACTTAGAACCTCTGGTTTCTGTGCTACACTGCATTATTTCACACCATTCCTAGCTTTCTGTTATTCTTCCTACTAGATTCTATCCTGAATTATTTGCTTTTGTGACTATTTCTCATAGAACTAATGGCTAAGATTATAAAAATACTGAAGAAATGACCAAATTTTAAGAGTGTGACCAGGATAGCAGACATGTGCCTTTGTGGGCAGGAAGGATGTATAGTGATCCCTGCATGAACAGCTATTTCTTGTATTCAGTGCCAGTATGACTCATCCATTAGGTACATACCATGGAATACTAAAATTTGTCTTGTATTACCAGTTATGACCAACTTAGCCTGGAAAGTTGTACCAATTTGGTGACTCATTTTATAGCACTATTAACTTTACACTTCGTCTTCTTTTAATCTGGCAAGTATTCTGATTTTTGAGTTTATCACTATCTACTAGGTTTTCATATACTTTAAAAAGTAGTACAAATAGTGTTTCAACCAACTTAGTGGTGAAACAATTGACAGTAATCATTCAACTTGAAAGATAAAAAGTCTCACATTCAGACTGCGTTACATAGCCATAGTATAGAAAAGTTGCCCTAAAATGCTGACAGATTTTCTGATCACTAGCATGACCTATTAAGCTTTTTAAAAGCTGAAAAACAAATACTGATTTTTAAAAATTGACTCTGTAATGTACTCCCAGATCAGAACTGGAGATGGTCCTCCTTGCCAGTGTTTGTACAGTGTGTTAACCATTAAGACATATACTAGTAATTTTATTTACAAATGAACATGCAGAGAATCAAATGAGACAACTGATTGTCAACAACTAAAGTATCAAAAACTGGACTTATACAAACCTCACAAAAGTGAGATAGGAAAAACATCCCACTTCATTAGAATAGTCACAAAAGTAGTGCAAACAAAACAATCTGAAAGAAGTTATTCTCAGTATTCCAGTGTCTAATAAATATAATTTGAGAATACACATTGGATATATTGAGCTTATATAGCTGAGATTACTGCAGTGAAGACATTTTATATGGTATATACACTTTGACGTCATGGTCCCTGTTAACTATGGAATCGTAAGTTTCACACCATGAACCTTTTTCAGTTACATAAGGAAATATTGCTTTTATCTGCTCCAAGCACAATAAGGTTCAACCTCTCTCCACACTGGAAATTAATGTAGTCATTTATTTAATCTTGATAACACTCCATTGTACAATAAAATAACTAGCCACCTTGGTGACTGAAAGCTGGCTGATTTTAAAAAATTCCTTTAAGTAGCTAGAAACACTGATCAAGCCATTTTTTAAAAATTTTGCACTTAAATAAATCTTCACATATAAACAACATAACAGCATATAACTGTTATGTGGCAGAAAATCAGTAAGGCATAAATTAGCTTAAAGAATAATGTACCTATCTTTACATCTGTATAGACACACCTACATCTCTAACACTTCCCCATCTATACTTACCATTTTTCCTAATTAATACTTTTCTTAATGAGTTGTATTCAGACCAGAAATGTAAAGCTACTGCAGAAATGGAAATGTTATATACATTTACCACAGTAAAGAGAGGCAGTGGGATGTCAGTATGCATGTGATGGGAGATAAGGTCTGATTCTGGCTCTGCTTCTTAGTTATGTGACTTAGTCATGTCACAACCTCTTTGAGCCTGTTTCCAAGGCTGAATGTTTATGGGAGGTGGGGGGGACACTAGCTAGAGTATCTCTAGAGTCTCTCTTCTACCATAAAAATTCTGATTCTACAATAGTCACAGAAGAGTGGGTTGGAAAAGGGTGGTGGTTAGGGGGTCAAGATTTTAAATTACAACTATTTTTTTCCCCAGCTAAAATATTTTCATATTTTAATGGTTGGTTTTTTGGTTTTGTTGTTGTTGGTGTTTTGAGACGGTCTCACTCACTATGTAGTTGAGACTGACCTGGAACTCACTATGTAGCCCAGGCTGGTCTCGAACTTACAGTGATCCTCCTGCCTCAGTCTCCCGAGTGCTGGGATTTACAGGCATGCTGTCACCACGCCCGGCTAATATTTTCATATTTTAAATCGTATTTCTAAGTTAACTTTTCACTTTACATTTAAACTTTTCTAATAATATGATTTTATAATTTATGTCGTAAGAAAAAGTTCCTAAAACCTTCAGATGTTTCTTTGTATTCTGACATAGATTGCATCAAATTATTTTATTACAGAAAACAAGTATTTTGTCCCCTAAATATATTTTCCATAGATTGGTGGACTATTTTTAAAATTAAAGTTAAAAATATAAAACAAAAGGCTATTGAAGGATCAAGTATGAATTGCTGACATGTGTTTGTTACAGCTCTTGTATGCTGGAAATAAACCTATTTTAAATTAAATGCTAATAAATAATGCAGACTTTTAAAACTTAGAAAATTCAACAGTTAAACTAACTCATTTCACTTTCACTGTAGCATGCACAGCAAATCTAAGACCCCAAATGCAAAGTTTAAATCAAATGAAATGTTTCTTCACTGGTGCCAAATCACATGACCTGAAAAAAATGGAAAATAATTATCACAACACCATGAAACATTAGAGTTAAATGAAATGTGAGTTGAAAAAGTTTTAAAACTAGCTTTTCAGGTACAACATAAGATTCTTAACCAAAGAGTATTTATCGTGTTTATTACAGCTTTTGCTGTAATTTGGTATAATTTGGTTATTTCTTTTGTGTTTTAACTAAAATCATCCTTGATTCAGATGCCACTAAACACACAACTTGTTGAATTAAAAACAGCCAGGCCAGGGATTTAGCTCAGTGGTGCCACTGCCTGCCTCGCAGCACAAGGTCCAGAGGTTGATCCCCAGTAAAAAAACAAACAAACAAAAACAAACAAACAAAAAAAACAACCCACAAAACAGCCATTAGCCTACTTTTTAAACCAGGTATTTTTTTGCTATAAAGTGACCAACCTTTGGCCACAGCCAAAATCTCACTTCCTAGTAAGTATAATGTTCTTTTCTTTGCATTCCTGAAACCTTATCTTCTTCAGTATGTGGTACCCTCTTATACCTCATTTATTTTGGCTGTTTTAAGATTATTTTCAGTTTTTTGACATCCCATAGTAAACTGAAAAGAAATAAGGATACTGCAAATGTCTTTGTGATGTACATGTATACATACCACACACACACACACACACACATCAATAACTTGCCTATCAACTCTTAGCTTTTCCTTGGATTTTGGCAATACTGGTCTCTAGCTCAGGTTCTAGTTTTCCATTTCATATGAGCTGAAATAAGTCACACAGTACCAAATTCAAACAGGTGCCTCACTGTCCTCACGAATATTCCAACATAAAGTCTCCCATTCACCTCCACCCCCTCTTTTTTTTTTAAAGGAAAGCACTCATAATTTAAAAAAAGGTAGAGATGTTTTTAAAGTATGAAAAAGCAAAAACCATTTTTCTGGCTATTTTATTATCAAAGCCTACTGTATGTTTAATTGGTAGAGATAAAATTTTAAACTTTATTAGGAGAATACTTGCTTTCTATAAACTCACTATTTTTCTTTCACAATAATAAAGTAAAAATGTCTAAATGTACAAAGCACTCCATTGTAGTTTGTGGAAGGATAATTTACATAAGTTCAAGTTAAATACTGATATCCAAAAGTCTAATATATTCCCTTCTTTTTCCAAACATTACAGCCTGAGACTCAGAAGAGGTTATATTAAAATTTTATCTAACGAAATAAAAATAAAAGCTTTTTAAACCAGTAATGTACTGTAGAACCTCTTAGCAGTTACCAAATGCTACTTACATACATTCAACATCTAGCTTACTGGCATGATTTCAAAGTTTTATAAAAACGAGAAACTCTGCAGGTATATGATTAGAAGATACACAAATTGCACCACATTAAACACAAAGGCAGTGTGGTCCTTTTAGGAGAAATCAAGTCAGTACCCCTGATAGAATGCTCTATAAAAATGTGTCACATTGTGAATGAAGCATCAGTGTTTTCAGCCAATTATCTGTCCCTGATATATTTACTTGGAACACATGATCTCTCAGGACTTTAAGTTTCTTAATTCAAAATATCTGACTGAATTTAGGTACATCTCGAAAGCAGCTGAAAGGGTTTCTCCAATTGTCTGAAATCACAGAAAATGGACTGGGAAATCCCTCTCTTTACCTGAAGACGTACAATTCTACTTCAGTCATCAGCTCACAAAGGAGGAAAAAAAGCAAAACAATCAAAACCTCCCCGCACACACAATCCCACACACGCTAAACCAACCCCCTCCCCATAAAGCCCCAGCACCGAGTCAATCATTCCTGGGAAGCAGAACATATCCCTTGAATTCTCTGATTTGTTAGCTTGTTCAAACTTTAAGGAGAAAAATGACCTTAAATCTGTGGGAAGAGGGAAGACATGTTAATAATGACTAGAGAGCCATTGGGAAAGTGCATTATCAATTACACAACTTATGAGCCCCACACTCAAAGGAGGTGGGGCTCAAATTGATTTAAATGCCTTAGTAGTTGAACATTTATATCCCCGGGATAAAGGAAATGGGGGGAGCCACCCTCATTTTAATTAAAAAGTGCAGCAGTCTACCACCTTTCCCCCTGCTTTTTTGGGGTGGGGGGCACCGGAAATTGAATTCGGGACCTTGTGCTTGCGAGGCTGGCAGCGGAACCACTGAGCTAAATCCCCGGCCCCTTCCCCATGCTTCTTGACAAAATGATTGCACAGACTCAGAGAAGTCCAAAGTCATAGCAGAATCTCTGAGGCACTCCTGGTTAAGAGAAAAAAATATGATCCAGTCATTTCCATAGTTCTATACAGTATGTGAATAAACCCGTTTTTGTTTTGTTTTTAAACAAAAGCCAAAGAATCACTTCATAGGGATCATATCCAGCATTTCCTCTAACATACTCTCAGTCTCACAGTGTTGAAATGGGACCGATCCACCTACGATGGATTGCACATCACCCAAGGAGAAGGGAAGGCATGGAAGGCAAACATTTTATACCGCTCCACAACATACTTACAAGAACGGGCACGGGGGACATGGGAAGGAGAGAAAAGGAAGCCTTATTGCTGTTTCCATACAAAATACAGTATGAATATAACTAAATTAAATCAAATCTGATTGTGATGACCAGTATTTTCACAACGTGGGATAAGTGTCTTCTTACACAATGAAACATTCAGTTACAGGGAAAGCAGAAAGAGCAGAGGGTGTTGAAGCTACACCTGGGATATCAGCTGCATATTGAAACTTGGGGAGCGGGACTGCTTGGTTAAGGGGGCTCCTGGGCTGAGGAGCTCTTTCCCATCACCAGCTTGACCCAACCGGTCTTCCTGGAGGCTGATGGTTGAGTATCGGTTAGCACTGTTAGCTGCTAGATTGGTGACTCCTTCTGTGCCGACCCCGATGCTGGTACCTGCTTGACTGGCATTTACGTAGTCAAAGGATTTACTTGAGGAAGCACTGGCTGTCCGGATCAGACTCAGACTATTGGTTTTTGGCACCACTTGGCCAGCAGGCAGGCTCAGGTGTTTCTTCACTGGTGTCAGCTCAACTGAATCTACACTAAGGTCAGCTGGCTGCTGTCCATACTGTTTGCGCACTACTGACTCTCGAGGGCTCTCACTGGATTTGGTGACAGAAGCCGCTTCTTTATCTTTGGCTGAACGCCCAGTTGCTACTTTCCGCAAGCTTCCCCTCTGAGAAGAGGAGGATGCTTTGGTCCCAACTGGCTGGCTGCTGAGGGAAGCCCCTGACGAAAAACCTTCATCTGCATCATTCAGGTTTACAGACTCTTCTCCATTTATACTTTCAGCACCTAAGAAACAAAGCAGACAGACTCAGAAATAGCAGTAGCTAAATTAAGAGGCAGCTGTGAACAGCACTGACTTCACTTCTTGAGTAATATTTGCTACAGGCCTTACTATTAGCACTTCATCTAAGTAATTCAGGAGAATAAAACCTGATCTACACAAAATTCTAATATACCACTGTGTTCATTTAGTTTAAATTAGCCCAACTTTGGTAAAACTATCCAAACTGCAACTAAATATACTAGTAATATTTAGATACATAAAACTAGGTAAAATACATTTTGCTATCATAAATCTTTGTAATATACACTGACATTGATTTAAGATAACCACAGCTACCTATTTAAAAACAGACAACTTTTTTCTCATACTGTCTTTAACCCACTGTGGGATAGACTTTACAAAAGAAACTCTTCTGATTTCAGATATCCAGAATTAGATCAAAACTCATTTAGGCCGGTAAGACAAACCCATTCTAACTACAGTAAAATTTTATATTTACTCAAGTTAACTGTTTTTATGTAACTTTACAACTTTAAATATGGAACTAGTAAATTTTCTAACTTACAACTAAAAAACTACATGGCTTCCCAAAATTTCACAACCCTATTTTGTCTTACAGACTTATCTACTCACTGGTCTCCCTATTTTCTTGATCAATTACTGTGAAGGAAACATTATCAGGGAGCAGGGGTAGGGAATCTAGCAAGGACATTTAAGATGGACCTTTTTTGCTGTGTGTGGTGGCTCACGCCTGTAATCCCAGCACTCGGGAGGCTGAGGCAGGAGGATTGCTTCCAGTTCGAGACCAGCCTGGGCTACATAGTGAGTTCCAGGTCAGTCTCTACATAGTGAGACCC